CTGACGTTTCGTCCACAACTGCGGTGGACATTATCAAAGGCGATGAGGCAGTGGGCGAAGTGATCTCCCGTCCTTTCCGACTAAGACTGGTTCAACTACTGGATCCCCTTTCGTATTTATGCAGGGGATCCCGTAGTTGAACCAGTCTTAGTCGGAAAGCACGGGAGATCACTTCGCCCACTGCCTCATCGCCTTTGAAAATGTCCACCGCAGTTGTGGACGAAACGTCAGGAAGAAATTCCGATAGACCACGGCTTCAAAGCCCGGAAAACATTCCTAAATGTAATTTCATTTTTTATCAATACTGTTCACATCCAGTATCACATCAATTTGAAATGATTTACTAAAACAAATCATAACTGGCTGAAGACATGTATTTAATGTTCCACACGCTCGCATTGAAATGCAATACTAACCTGATGGCAAATGATGATTTTCTCCACCACCCTCTATAGGTTTTTGCGTTAGAAGCTTTATAATTTCAGTATCTCTAACTTTAACGTCAGGCGCAAATGAGCCACCAGCAGCTGCCTCCAGATGAGCCCCGGCAGACGCTTTGGCTACTTTCGGAGTCGCTGAGGATTTAAATAAAATGCTCCACAACGTAACAATGCGATGGTTTAAAGTGAAAACTTACCGGTTTTATCAGCAGTTTTTAATGCAGCTGCTTTGGCGGGTCCTGGCGAACGATCCAAGTTTTCGCCGACTGTGCGGGCGTAAGCCAAATCCGCCACATTGGGCGTCGATTCCAAATATTTCGTATATTCAGGATGGTAATGTTTCACGTGCATCAGCGCCAAATTTTCCCGTCTAAAATTCTTACCACAACCTTCAATTGGACATTTAAATGCTTCGTTTTCGAATATTATTTTTAGGCATGTTGGGGAGTCTAGAGAAGCTGAAATTTAGAATCTTTAGAATATTCAATGCGCACTCAAACAGTTTGAGGAGGAATCGACGAAAACCAATCCACCAAACTAACCTTCTGCTTTGGCTGGTTTTGTTTCTTCCACAGGTGCCGGTGGTTCCTCTTTGGGTAGAGCAACTGATTCAACAGGAACTTTTGCCTTGGGTTTTCCTTTCCTTTTTCCACGATAAAGACTAAAGTCGAACAGCTCAACATTCACGTCGATGCCAGGATGCAGTTCAAGATAATTTTTGATTTCCTGCTTGGTCCTGAATTTCTTCCCATCCGGTCTGGGAAGAAATTGACAAAAATTAGTTTCTAGATGGTGATTGATCGCTGCAGTTATTACGCTAAAATGACAGTATCCCATTTGCCGATAGAGTTTCCATACATTCGTTGAGTAAGATGTTTCGTCCAACCAGGAGGCATCCGCGGATCGGCTACTATTGTGGATTTTCTTAAACCATCCACGCTTTCGATGGTCGACTCAATACCTACCGGTTTCCCATTTTCCCATCTAAAATTTGTATTGAAAAGAATAGACAGTGATCAGCAAGGGGATGGAATAAAATCATTTTAAAATCACGTTCGCTGCAATAAAAGGAAATTTCCAATCCTCAAGACTGCGGTTTTGTAAGTAGCAGAGTAACTGATAATTTATCATTATTTTTGAATACAATAAAATTTGGAACTCGAGTTAAAATATTGTGTTCAGTGAGAAGTTATTCGGCGCAAAAACCTACGGATGGGATAATATGGGAATGAGCTGAGGATAATCAAACACTCAGGCTCCACTTCCTAGGCTAACATTTCAAAACTACTGTAAACAACAGTGAATTTCCTTTAATACATTTTATTTGTAAAACATTTTTTTGATTTTTCACTCATTTCAGTCAAAATGGGTTTGGTATATTCAACACCGGGCGACCTAATAGAAAAATCGTTTGCAGAATAAACGACAACGAAATAGTCGACAGATCAACTAAATCACATTACACCTTACTATCTGTATGATGCAAAA